TCTATTACTGCTAAGAATATATGTTAGTGAAAAAACTTTCAGATCCGCCTGAAGCTTCAAACGCAATTTGCAAGATTATGGTACAGTTTCGTGACAATTGTCCTACGCGATCAACAATCAATTTATGAAGAAATACAGTAAAATTCTCTCTAATTTTTCTTCAGTTTGTAAACAGAAATGAATAATTTGGGAAGAGGAGATACGATTATTCGAGCCTTGCACCTCGTTTTTATAATTGTTTGACTATCGGCAACTGTAAAAATGAGCCGTGAGACACGAATAATCGTATCTCTTCTTCCCAAATCGTCCATTTTTGTTTACAAACTGAAAGAAAATTGGTGAGAATTTACTATATTATTTTATTTACGCTGCTGTGTCTTTTAAACGATTTCTTCTCTTGCTAATCAATTCTCCGGCCTTTGAGAAAACTAGTTCGGCTGAAACGAGGGTTGCCGTTGCACATAAATATCATCCGAAAAACGATTATTCGAGGCTTGCATCTCATTTTTATAATTGTTGACAATCGGCAATCATAAAAATGAGCCGCGAGACATAATCGTATCTCTCCTTTCCAAATCGTCAATTTTTGTTTAAAAACTGAAAGAAAATTGGCGAGAATTTACCATATTATTTTATTTACGCTGCTGTCTTTTAAACGATTTCTTCTTTTACTAATCAATTCTCCGGCCTTCGAAAAACGACAATTAGTGAAGCATCGAACGAACATCGAAACTTTCGGAAAGTATCGAAGAAACTTCAATTCGATACAGCGCTTGTATGATATCATTTCAAGAAATCTTGGTATCGACGAGTGATACGAAATACCTAAAATTTCGCTATATACAGTAATGTCTCTCCAATTGACGCTCAGATTGTCCACAAAAAATGGACAATTAGCAGGAGAAAAGACACGATTATTCGATCCTTGCGGTTCATTTGCCATATAGTTACGAGTTGTCAACAACCATAAAAACGAGCTGCGAGGCTCGAATAATCGTAATAATCTCCTGTTTCCACATTGTCCATTTTTGTGGACAATCTGGGCGTCAATTAGAGAGACGTTACTGTACATCGATGCTACTACCACAGCTATCAAGTACCTCGGTATCGAATCGACGGAGTATCATCGAAACAATATCGTTGTATCGTATTCCATCGCAAATCGCGAGCTTGATCCCATTTTCGAAAGAAATCGAGCGCCGCGCGCGCGCGCGCGCGTTGCGGCGCGGCGACGCAAAAATCGTGCGGCACTCGGTTGCCCGTGTTCCGCGGATCGTTCGTGGTTCGGCGAGTGCGCGTCACGATGCGGCCGAGCCCTCGCAAAACGGAATTGAATCGAAATGCTCGGAAATATTTCCACGTGGCAGCGGAGGATCGGCGCGGCAGAAATCCTTGCCGCGGCGCAGCCAACGAGCGTCCGTCCTCCTTTCTCTTTTCTTTCTTCGCGTGTTCGCACATCGGGCTCGAGAACTCCGACTCGCGAACCACCACAGGAGAGTTCTCTTGCCTCGTCGCGTCTATCCGTTGCTTCGGTTTCTCTTCGCTGGCTCCGTCGACGCGATTCCACAGCTTCGCCGTTTCGCCGATCCCTTGGACGCGCCGATGCACGTTGGCCTAACCGCGACCAAAAATATTCGTCGTTCGCGAGAATTCGCGTGGAAGCCCGAGCGAACCGGCAAAGACGATCCGCTCGCGACAAAGTTGGTCCGGTGAACGGACAAAACCGAGACAGAACACCGTTTCGTCGACGAAACGTTCGCGCGCCGTGTAGCAAACGGAGCAACGGCCGACGGCGAGACCGATGGAGAGCGGGCCGAGGGCATCGACAAATTCGGGGGAATAACCGTGAACGAGGTGCACCGTGGGAAGGGTGAAAGGGGCGCGAGAGGCGCGTGCCGAAACTGGACCGGCCCGCAATTTCCGAGGAATCTTATCTCTGGTTTGCATCTTCGGTGTCGGGTTACAGGCGGAAAGGAACCTTCCCGTCGAGAAACCGATCCGGAGCTTCTTCCTGTGTCTACGGGCCCGAAACCTTAGCCCCGTCTCTTTCCGGGCCGCGGCCCTCCTGCTCCTCTCGCTCCGTCCGTCGGGATCCCCGGCGAAAGGGAGGACGGACCGAGGTCGAAGATACGGCGAAGATGCGTATCGGAGAGGTCTGGAATCGACGAGACGAATAAAACGGGAACGAACGGAGCGGGACGGGGGAAAAAAGAACGAACGGAAGAAAAAATGAGAAAACAAAAGATTTATTGGATCGACCGGTGCCGCGTGATCTCCGCGAAAAGACGTCGTCGCGGCCGTCCCGTCCCGTCCCGTTGCTGTCGCGAGACTCGTCGCCGGCTAAGCCGGAACTCGTTCGACGCGTAACCGAGGACAACTTATAGAGCCGCGTCACGCGATTTTCGCTCGAGCCGGGTGAGCCGGGTAAGTTGAGCGAGAGCCGAGCGAGCCGGGTCCGCGATAACCGACGATGAACGATCGCGCGCGGCTGCTCCTTCACGATTCCCTGCGATCGATCGCGTCCGAGGCGCGAATCGGCCTGCCCCGTTTCCGTCCGCCGCGCCGTCCGGCTTAAAGGTTTTTCGCGTCGGTGGCTCGCGGCTCGCGGTCGTCGCGGGTCAAGAGTCGCGCGCGTTCGCGTCTGGCGTCGCCGCGAAAACGGGACGGCGAAGCGTTCGAAAGCACGGCCTCGCGCGCGGAACCCACAGGAATAGAGTCGCCGCCCGAAAGAAGAAGAAACACGAAGGGGGCCCCGTGTACGGGGCCGCGCGTCGGTGTTCGAGTCCGTGCGGACGTTTCTGTGCGTGTCGCGTTCGTGATCGCGTCGATGGTCGTGCCCCGTGTCGGTGTGCCCGCGGGGCCAGCGTGTGCGCGCGTCGTCCGAGCGAGCCTACAAGGAAACCCTTCTACGCGGTCGGCGCCGTGGCGCCTCGGAATCGAGCAATCGTCCAGCACCGACACCACCGGCGCGCTTTAACCGTCGCGCCGCGTCGATCGAAATGCTCTTCCCATCCGAGGTTCCCGAACACCGCCGTCCCCGGACCCATCCGCGTCCCTCTTTGTCCGGGGGGGGAGACAGCGTCGCTCCCTCCGCGGCACGACGAGACGAGACGGGACGGGACGGGACGGGATGGGACGAAAACTCCTGGAACCACGAGAGGAGACGGGAAGCGCCTCGTAAAAGACCGAAAGAAACTCGTCCGGGCCAGTTTCGAACAGAACCGGTAGACGTTCGAAGCAATTAATTAGCCTCGTAGAGAATCGGTACTCTTGTTTCGTCTCGACTCTCGTCTCTCGTCTAACCGACTCGCGTGTCTTGTTCCTGTCTCTCGCGTCGCCGCGCTCGAGAAGCCAGCCGAACCTGTATAAGAGAGAGATTAGTCGAACCAACGAAAAAAAAAGGCCGACCAAAGACCGGGAACGTTATTTCCATTAGCGATTCCCCTATCGAGAGGAACGGTCCGCGCCGACTATAGTCTACGATCTCTACATACGGTATAGAGTCCGCCGTCTAATAGCGGCTCATCGGCGAATCGAATCTGTCCCGCTCGAAACGTCGGTTCGACGACCGTTCGGGCAGACTCTCCCAATCTTTTCTTTTTCGGAATAAACGGCAACACGGAAAAACGCGATCACTTGTATTGACCCGGTCGCTTATGGTCCCAAAAAGCTTATATAATAACGAAAGAAAAGACTCATCGGCCGACCCAATCATTCATCTTACCAAATCGTGCTACAAATTCGTCGAGGAATCTTTCTTCTTCTATTCTAATTCCCTCTCTCTTTCTGTTCTAATTGCTTAATTATCGCGTGCGTCGACCGCGCGTATTGTGCTTCTCTCTCTCTCTCTCTCTCTCTCTCTCTCGATGACATTTTTATCGAAAGCCTGAGTGCAAGAAAGAGACAGAGTGAGAGAGTGGGAGAGAGGTCTCGATGTCTCGCGGTTAGAGAGAGAAAGAAAGAGAGAGAGAGAGAGAAGGAGAAGGAGGAGGTGACGACGAAGCGCGAGACCAAAACGTGGAGGTCTAGCTGGCGCCAGATGCTCGTTTGGTTTCGGCGCCACAGTTCCAACACCGAAACACGATTACTCTTCCAACCGGTTCCTATCAAAGAAATTCTCCGGGGCCGTCGTTCGAGCCTTTTGCTTCTCCGTGTCGCACGCGTCGCAAAAATGTCCAGGCCGTATATACCTGTACGGTAATAAGTACGTCGGGCATCGTTACCCGGGAATGAACTCGCGTGAACGACGGATTCCGCGAGCGTCGACGGAAATCGTCCGCGGGGACGGTGCGACGAAACGAGAGACGCAACGGTCCCGCGGCAAAGTTTCGGGCGGTTCGCGGAATCGATCTGTCGCGTCGCGATAGAGACGGGGCGAAGTCGGCGGCAGTGGCGGCCGTTCGTCGCGGCGCCGCAGACACCACGGACCGCGGACCGCAGACCGCAGCTCGGAGCCCCGGGACGCGTTGTCCGCAACAGCGGCATAGCTTTGGTCCCGCCTACACGGATCTTATTCGTGGCCGCGATGGCCGCTATCCCGTATCTCCGATTCTACGCTCGCAGCCAAGTCGCGCCTCGAAGGTGGAGACGCGTCTGCGCGCTCTGTCTCGCTCTCCTCTGTCTTTGTTCGCTCGCCGTCGCCCCTACCGACCACTCTCGTTTCCCTTCTTCGTCGTTCACCGGCGCCCTTTTCCTCGACGAGTCCCTCTCTCTCTCTCTCTCTCTCTCTCTCTCTCGCGCCCTCTTTCTCTTCTTGCCGTTTCTCCATGGTTCGAACGTATTCCGAGAAGCGACTCGGACACGGCCACGAAGACAACCGCCCTTTCGAACCGATGGCGAACCCAGTTGTCCCGTCCTCCTCGCGCCCGCGACTCGCGACCGCGGGGTGCCGCGATACTCGCGGATCTCGACACTCGGGAACTTTCGTCGCCGCGATCGCGCCGTTTGTTTTCTCGCGTAACCCGTCACCCACGAAACGCTTTCCCATTTGCTCGAAACAGATGCGGCGGTTTTAGCTCTCGGGGAGGATGTTCCACGGGGGCGGAAGCGGCGGGTACGGCGGCGGCGGTTCCGACTACCAGCAACAGTCCCAGCAACAGCAGCAGCCGCACGGCCAGCAGCTCCAGGCTCCGGTGTACGTGCCCTCGTCGAGGCCGACCATTCCATCGGCAGCGACGGCAGCGGCGGCCGCGGCCGCGGCCGCTCAGTATCACTCGTTCCCCGGCTCCGGTTCACCAGCCTGGTAAGTGTCGCCGAGCTCGTCCCGATGGATCCTTAACCCTCTCCTTGAAGCCGACACGGAGTCAAGACCGGGTCTTCCGTAACCCGGCCTTAATGAATTAACAGCGAAGGCGCGGTGGATCCACGTCCCTCGCAGCTGTTCACCGCTGATTTTCCATCGTTCGGCATAAGCTGGATCAGCTTCGCCCGGTCATGAGCAGGCTACGGCCTATGTGCTCCTTATGTGGTAGACGATAACTGATCCTTAACCCTTTCGCTACGGGCGGGTTCTCCGCCGCGGTACTTCCGCTGAACGGAGCGCTGGCGACATCACTGCACGCTACGCGACGCCGATCGCCACTGTTCGACACGATTTTTGGGTTCCTGTAGCCACTAGGAACAAGAATCCGAAAACCGAATTGCTCCATCACCCTCAGTTTTTTAAATGAACGAACTTTCGTAAAAACCCAAAATTTTCGAGAAGAATGAGGTATCGCACGAAAAGTACAAACGTTAGAAAGTTTTAATCGGTGTTGAAAGATAGAGGAGAGTTTCCCGAATATAGTGACATGCAATTTATTAATTGTTTTTGGTCCTAAATAGCGATAAATTGATGTCAAAGTTTAAAAAAGTGTCGACGCGAGCAGTTTCTGCGCAATATTTTTGTATTTTTACGAAATGTTTTTTGTTCGGCACGAAAACTCTACCCAGGATCGGATTCTGTAGGCATTTCTGAAGAAGAAACGGCCCGGTAAAGGTGTCGGAACGATGTACATTTCGAGTAGATCGAGAAAATGTTCGACGGCAACATGTACACGACGTTTTGCCGCCACGAGCTTCGCTGCTCGTTTCTTAGAAGAATTCCATAGTGGCTATAGGAACCCGGAAGAAAAAGTTTGATCTTGTCGGACAGTGTCGTCAGCGGGAGTCGGTACTCCGCGGTCGGCGGAGAACCCAAGCTCTGCTTGAATGTTTTCGAACGAACAAATTGTTCTCCAAAGGGTATTTATAAATAAAGGCTATTCCAGGCTATTTATAACGTCTTAGCATGCGCTCTTTAATTTACAGTATCAGAGGAAATAACATTATGCGGTATAATGCATCTTATGGAGGGCCACTATTGTGGCTCGTAGTACCTCAGTGGCACCATGTGGAAGGCCACTATAGTGGTCCATAATACCTCAGTGGCACCAAATGGAAAGCCACTATAGTGGTCCGTAGTACCTCAGTGGCATCATATAGAAGGCCACTATAGTGGTCCCTAGTACCTCAGTGGCACTATATGGGAAGCCACTATAGTGGCCCATAAGTACCTCAGTGGCACCAAATGGAAAGCCACTATAGTGCTCCGTAGTACCTCAGTGGCACCAAATGGAAAACCACTATAGTGCTCCGTAGTACCTCAGTGGCATCGTATGGAAGGCCACTATAGTGGTCCCTAGTACCTCAGTGGCATTATATAGAAGGCCACTATAGTGGTCCATAGTAGCGAAAGGGTTAAACAACGAAGTAAGCGACTTTCCAAGCGCCTCTGTTCGCAGCGGTAATCGCAACCGAACAGTTGAGTCGCGGGAAGCGACTTCGGCACGGCAAAGCTCCAGGCCCCGATCGCTCGTCGGTGGTGTCGATGATCCAACCGAGAGACTCCTCCGGTTTCTCCGGTCGCACTTATCGTATCGCTCTGTGGTTTGTTCGAAAGGGAGAAGACCGCGGCGTCCTGGCAGCATGGAGTGGAAACGTACGCGGCCCATCACGCGCTCGCCGGGCACGCGAGCGGATCGGCGAGCGCCGCCGCGGCCGCGGCCGCAGCCGCAGCCATGGGCCCTCATTCGGGGCACGCGCATCCGCACGCGGCGCACCCGCACACCGGACACCCGCACTCGAGTCTCGCCGCGGCCGCGGCCGCGCCGTTCTACGCCCAGAACGTCGCCATGATGTCCTCGTGGCGCGCGTACGACGGGGCAGGATTTCAACGAGCATCGCCTTACGGTTCGTATCGAAGATCGTCGCGTCGGGATCGGGCCGACAGACCCTGTCGTCCATCCGTCGATCCAGCTACTTAGCTACCTGTCTGCCTTGCCGCTCGCTCTTCCCTCGTTGATCCGTTCCTTTATCGGGGTCGGGGAAAGGGGGGAGGGGGGGAGATCGTTTCGAAGAGTTCAAGTTCGAAAGGAAAGCGAGAGGATGCGATAAAGCGAGATCGAGCGACGCCCGCGAGACATTAACCAGACTTACGAAGGCACGGTGGAAAAGCTGCCTCGGGTGTCTGCACGGTAAAAAAAGCTCCTTTCCTGGTCGACGAACACACCGCCACGCGGTGGGCCATCTGCGGCGGATAAGCGATAGCGGCGTCTTTGAGACGAACTGTTGGCGGTCGAGTGGTTCGTTGCCCGATTCGCCGTGTAATCTCGCGATCCCGTTCGCGTTCCCGATCCCATTTTCGTTCCCGTTCGTCCCGGTTCCCTTAGGCCGTCCGGCGCAACCGTCCCGGAAAGCATCCAGACGCATATCCAGAACGTGGAACCGCGTTCCTCGATCGGTTTCAGACACCGCGATGGACTTCCAATTCGGCGAGGGCCGCGAATGCGTGAACTGCGGCGCCATATCGACGCCGCTATGGAGACGGGACGGCACCGGGCACTATCTGTGCAACGCCTGCGGACTCTATCACAAGATGAACGGGATGAACAGACCGCTGATCAAGCCATCGAAGAGACTGGTAAGTCCGCCCCTGAACGCAGCGTCGCGTACGGCCGCAACGTTCTTCGCTCGATCGATCGGTCGAACGACAGTCGACGTTTCAGACCGCGACCAGACGGCTCGGGCTCTGCTGCACGAATTGCGGCACCAGAACGACCACGCTCTGGAGGCGCAACAACGAGGGCGAGCCGGTTTGCAACGCTTGCGGCCTCTATTTTAAGCTGCACGGGGTGAACCGGCCGTTGGCGATGCGAAAGGATGGTATACAGACGCGGAAACGAAAGCCGAAGAAAACGCCGGAACCGAACGTCAGACCATCCACGGGAGATCACGAAACTGCCACCGTTTCGACGGCCTCGTCTCCGCCCACGGGTAAACACAATATCTGCTCACCAGTCTTATACCAAATAGGGGTGTCTCGAGGTACCGGAGCCTCGGGTCGGGGTTTCCCATTGATCGGGTTCTGTCGGGATCCGAAACTTTCGGGTACCGCAAAGTCGTATCGAAAACTTTCGGCCACCCGGAATACGAAAATTTCATTGGGATGCATATTTAGACGTTTCGTTAGCTTTTCCCGATCCTGTTTCATATATAATATAATAAATTAATTATAAATAAATAATATAATAAATTAATTATAAATAAATAATATAATATATATTACATATATATATATAATATAAATAATAAATATAATTATATTTAATAAATATTTAATTTATTAAATATTATATTTAATAAATACAATTATATATAATATATTAAATATAGCATATAATATATTTCTGAATTTATAAGCACTCCCCGGTACGCTTTTACGATTTCGGGCAGCCGAAAATTCTCGGAGCTCGATTTCAAATACGGATACCCAAAAAAGTTCCGAGTCCCGCCTCGAACCCGACGAAACCACTCGACCCGATCTTAGCCCGAAATCTCGGGTACCCGGCCGCCTCTAATAGCCAAACAGCCACCATCGGCCTTATCGCGTGGTTCGCAGAGCTCAAGGGCGGCCAACAGCAGCAACAACACCAACAGCAGCAGTCGCAGCAGCAGCAGCAGCAACAGCAGCAGCAACAGCAGCAGCAGCAACAACATCAAATCGACGGGTCGAAATCGGGCGGCGGCGCTTCGAGCTCGACGGACAGACCCGTGTACTTGGGGCACACGTCCCTTCTGGCGACCGGCAATGTCGCGACCGTGAAGACGGAACCGCGAAGTTGCGACGGAATCGTGGGCCAGCCTTACTCGTCGTATTATCAGCATCCTCATCAACTCGGCGTGTCGACCAGCGAGCATCAACAACAAACGTACTACGGGAGCCAGGAAGCGCCGTACCATCACCAACATCACGTGACCGCGGCCGCCAAGTTGCTCGCGTCCTCGTAACTGCGAGCCCTGTATTCGCGAAGAATCGAAAGTGATCGAAGTGATCGTAGTGATCGAAGTAATCGAAGCAATCGATGAACCGACGACGCGACGACGCGACCCCGCGCAACACAGGGCGAACGAATGTCGCCGCGAGTCGCAACGAGCGATCTCGAGTTTTCTCGGCTATGTCTCTCTCTCTCTCTCTTTTTCTTTTCTTTCTCTGTTCTCGGCTATCGCCACACGGAGAAAACACGAGATTCCGCGTGCGCTGCTTCCGAGTTGGCGCGTTTCATTTGTCCTATGCTTGTTCCTCCGTAATCTCGCGATTCATTCATGTACCGTTACTCATAGTATGCGCGCGTGCAAAGCCGCACTCGTTTGAATTATTTGTAAATAATTGGATGGAACCGACGCGTAGCCAAGCGGCTAACTTTCACGCCGCGTTTCGCTCGGAACGTCCCGGAATCGAGAACCTTTCAGAATATCTGACGGGTTCCGTCGACGTTTCTGCCGATCGCGGCGCGTCTCTCTCCTCTCTCTCTCTCTCTCACTTTTTCTCTCGGGCCGTGCGTACGTACGCGCTTCCATCGTCGGTGCGACGAGAATCGTTCGAATCGACCGACCGGTTCTCTGTACAGTTCCTGTATAATTAATTTTCGGACGCGCAATAAAGAGCAAAGCTTTAGTTCTCACCGTTCGTCAGAAATCGCAACGAATGCTTCGATCGTAGCTGAGTCGACGAGCGATCGGCTCCGTCCTCGGCCTCGCCGGGTGCTCGACAAATATTGTCTTACCGCGATCTAACGACCAGAGTGACACTCGCACGCGTCAAATTCACTCCCCTAACTGTCCGTCCGTCCGTCTGCTCGCCCGTCATCTCCGTCTCCTCGCTCCCCTCTACGACAGCAACGCGGCAACCGCCCCGTCTTTCCGTCGATAAACCAAACCACCCTCGCGACGATCGGGACGTCGCGTCGAGTCGCGTCGCGTCCTCCGTCGTCGTCGTCGTCGTCGTCGTCGCCGCGTCGGTCACAGTTTTCGTGGTTCTTCGGCCGTAAGCGCGACAACGTCGCGGCCTCTGACACCGGTTCGCCTTCGGATCGGTTCGACTCGTCTCGCCTCTTCGCCCGTCTCCGTCCCCGGCTTCGCTTCGACCGGTCCCCGCCGATCCGCCGGTCGACCGGTCGACCCTCGGCCCCGGCCATTTTCGTCCGCGCGCGCGATCGCATTTTTCGATTTCCACTCGGCGGAGGGACGGCCGTCCGCGGACTCTCGAGGTCCGAGGCTCGATCGAAATATGGGTAAGTGATCGCGCCCCGTTTGGGCCGTTTTATCGGCGGCGGCGGCGGGACGGACACCGTCGACGAAAGAGACCCGAACAACGTTCTCCATGCGATTCCTTCCTCTCGTCGTAACAGGAAGAACGTTGCCCACTCCCGTGATCTGCAAAATCTGCGGAGACCGATCCTACGGCAAGCATTACGGCGTTTACTGCTGCGACGGGTGCTCCTGCTTCTTCAAGCGATCGGTGCGTCGCGGCGCGCTCTTCACCTGCATAGGTTCGGATCCGCGGCCTGTAAAACCCCGAAAAAACCGATTCGTCGCGCGACTCCTGAAATCGCGTCCTGAATCCTCGGTTCACGTTACAGCGGGGACCGGAGCCTGCACCGTCGACAAAGCGAGACGCAATTGGTGTCCGCACTGCCGCCTGTACAAGTGCTTCGCCGTCGGCATGAACGCAGCAGGTAAGGAACGCCTTCGATTTCGCCGAATCCTAGTTTATTCGCGACCATCGCGTTGCGCCGTATAACTCGAGGAGCTTTCGCGGCTACCCTCGAGAGTCCAGTCGATCGAAGAGATCGTTCGCGCTTCGGTCTCCAGACCGTGACGCGCGTTAACGAGCCAAACGAGATGCAAACAGTGCCGGCCGCCACCCCTCCGAGCGTTCAGCCTCGTTTCTCGCTCGCCGAATCCTCCGGACGCGCGCCGCGTCGTTTCGCTTCGGCATCTCTTCTCGTCGTAAAAATGCGGGGAACGAAGAGAAACGTTGGTTTTCCTTAGCCGTCCAGGAGGAACGGGGACCACGCGTCCGTAATAAGACGTCGATCGTCGAAGCGGACGCGAACGTTCCGTGGAGAACACCGACGGCCAGCCGTCTCGCGCCGGCGTGCATCCCGGGAAGAAATCATCCGGCGACGGTGTTCGGCGGTGTTGGCAGCGGATCGGGAACTGGATCCGGGTTTTCCTTCTCCGCGGTCTCGTATCCTGGCCGAGCGACGAGGATTTTCGCAACGGGTAATCGCGCATACGTCTCTCTCTCTCTCTCTCTCTCTCTCTCTCTCTCTCTCTCTCTCTCTCGATTCGGTCGGGCCGCGCGCCACTGCTCGCCGAGACTCTCGATTCGGCCGGTTGATCGTTGCAGGACCGACCGCGACTATACGGTACGAGATCGCTGCGGAAATATTCCTTGCGACGGTGCGGGCCGCTCGCGGGCATCGAGAGTTCTCGATGCTCGAGCCTACGGAACAGAACAGGATTTTACGGAGAGGCTGGGCAGCGGCGTTCGCTCTACGAGCGGCGACTTGGCCGATCGACCTTTCGGCCTTTCGAAACGGAGCCGGCTCCGCGTACGACCCTCTGGCCACCGCCCGATCCTCGGTCACCAAGTTGCGTCTCGATCCCGTCGAGATCTCGATACTGGAGACGCTGGTTCTCTGCCGTCCCGGTAACACAATTTCGCAATCGTTAAACTTACTTACTTACCAGTGTTCGTTCGTTCTCGGCGTTCCCATGCGAACGGTGTTCCGGCTTCTCAAACGCTCTTGTTCTTTTCCCCCGCGAAATCTAGAGATCGCCGAAACCGCGACCGGCAACCGTTTGGCGAGCCGAGCCACGGACACGGCGGTGGATGCTCTCGTTCGACATCTGGACGAACGTGCCGTACTACGAGCCGAGACACGATCATCTTCGAGGCTGGCCAAGATCATGCTGATTCTGCCTGTTCTGACGTCCTGTTGCCCCCGAGACTTAGCCGGCGAGTTTTTCGCCCCTATCATCGGAGACGCGGACCTCGAGAGAGTGATCGAGTCTGTGCGTTGACTGTCCTATATATCCCATTCGCGTCTCCAGTCGTATCTCGCTCGTCGAACGCGATAGAATCGCGAGACGAAATATCTAGTCACGGTAAGGTAGACCCTAATACCTAAACTTACACTCTCGTCCCTCAACGACCGGTCCTCTCCTTCTTTTCGAGCGTATTCGCGTCCGTCCTCCGTCGTTCGCGATCGAATTGCTAGTTCGTTCACATTCGCTCGCTCGTTCGTTCTAACGATATCTTTGATTTTCTGTGACACACGCGCGCGCAACCACGCACAAACGCGCACGCGCGCGTGCTCGTTCCGCGCAGACTGCAACAACGAAAAGAAAGAAACTTTAAGTCGATTTGTATTTTTCTTTGGCACTTTAATGAGGCAAATGTAACAATTTTATGAAATACGATATGTACAATTCCTTAAAATAATATGGCGTATCAGAGGACACGAGATGAACGCGAACGAAGAGATGCCATCTCGAATGCCTGCGAAGCTCTCGTATCCGAACGAGCCCCGTTTTCGCGGCTGTTCGAGGTTCCTCGCGCGTTTCGTGATCGATTCGAGCATAATCGCGGCAATGTGTCAGAACTGTTAAAAACGGGACAGAAAGAAAATGGTAGACGCGTATTGTGACGCTCGCGGAGACTTCTCTCGCAAGAAGTACCAATAAATTAAAATACTTGTAGCTTGTACGTCGAAACGAAACGATGTTAACGATACTGTAGTCAATTTTCTTCTATGTCTATCGAGAATCCGCTCGAGACCTTTCTGAAATTCATTGTTTCCAAGACTCGACCGGTCTAGCTCCTCCACGAGATCCTTTTGTATCTTTTCTTATCTAGCGTCTAGCGTCGAGGTAATGACGGTGTCGCCTCGCGAGGCGTCTCACTCGAAGCACCTTAAAATCTATGCGTTTTCGTTGATCGCGATACCGGTTCAGCTTTCCGTGACCGGATCGCGGGAATCGCGGAAATCACGCTCGATTCTTGCAGGGAGAGAAACCAACGTTAGCAATACTTTTTCTTGTACTTGCGATACCGTTCCTCCACGGACTGCCTGTGCAACTGATTCGTAAGATCGCTCGGCACGTACCACAGTTTCTCGGTGTTACCGAGAAGAGCTTCTGTCACTCGGCAGCATATGGCGGCCATGTTAACCTGGGCCGTTAAGTCGGTACGATCGCGGGGATGAACGTACCGCGGCGGAAACAACGACGGAGCAACGATCATCGCCACGTTATGGATCGACATTTTGTTCGACGTTTGATTCTCGACGATCAGCTTCAAGAATGTCGCTAACGCTTTCAAGGTACAACGGTGTTCTATCGGTAAGAGCAGCACCAGCAAGTTCAAGGCGTGCGACAAATCTCGTCGGTCGTTTACTCCTGCACGCAAAAAAAGAAAGAAAGCACATGTACGTATCTGGTACAATTAACGCTTGGCCGAGCTGGTTGCATTCTCTGTGGCGTTTCCGTTGATATTTTCTAATGCAACCGCTCGATCACCGTACCACACCCTAAACACCAACCCACCGCACCGCACCGCACCGCACCACAGCGCAATTGCACCGTGCTGCGCCGCACCCCCATTGGTTGACTTACCGTGACTCTGGTAGAACGCGTCGATAAGTTCGACTGTGAGCAGGGGTTGCGGCAGATCGCGCAGCAACTTCTTAAGAACCGCGGCCAGGTCGTGACACGACGTGCGCTTGAACAATTTGTCCATCTCTCTCGGTTTACAATAGAAGTCAGTTTCCAACTGCACACATATCGACTCTACCTGAACACAACGACGAGCACAGTTTAGTCGAACGGTAACGCGTGAGACGGTTAGTGAGACGGTAACGCGTTTATACTTGGAACGTCTGTACTTGAAACATCGATTGCCCGTACTTTCTGTTTGTGTCCTCCGACGCGAAGAATTCCCTCCTCCTTTACGCCGCGTTTCGTCAACTCGGCGAGAACTTTCTGAAACACCAACGGGATATTGCTCTCCTCGGACGTCAATTGGCTGTCTCGAAGCAGCAGAGTGGACAACGACACGCCGAACAAGTTTCCAGCTAGGAACATAGTAACCGGTTAGTATCGATCGATCGTACGATGATTTTCGATCAGGAATGCGCACCTTTCGTGCGGCGCTTGTTTGGTTTGCGTTTCTGCAGCGGCAGATTGTATTTGTCGAAGACAGCGGTCAGTTCGAGCCACAGCAGCGGCTGTAATCTCGTCAGATCTCGTTGCGACAACGTCTCGATGCCTAATCGTTTTTGCGTGTCGTCGGACGGAAACGTTTCCGCGTTACCAATCCATACTTGCGACTTGACCTCGTTCGCTCGACACATTTCCTCGAAACTCAGGTGGCCATGGGACGACGTACGGCTCAGTGGACGGGTTATCAGAGTCTCTTCCGCTGGCCTATTCAATCCGTACAGACTACTATGGCTTCGAGTGACCGTGGCGTGCCCGCTTGTGTTTCTCCTGAAATTTACATGGCGGTACATAATTCGAAAATTCCAGCGTTCATCGATAAGCCAATTGACCGATTCGTAAATTTCGCGGCAATACGACGCGCACCAGTACCTCAGCGTCGAATCGTCGGGGGAGATACTGAGATTTACAGCGGACTCGTTCGATGCGCCAGTCACCGCGTTCGCTATTTTGTCAGGATCGCTGCCGCTTCGTCTTTGCGCCGTTGGCCTCGACACGTGTATCGTCCCCAGTCTGTGATAGCCCGTCAGTTGAATACCCTCTGCAATCGAACATAGTCGTCCGGTGTAATCGCCGATGTATAGTCCAAAATCGCACAGCAACTTCGAGATACCTGAATCGCTCGCAACGTCCCCCCGCAGCCAGTTTCCGGCGCGTCTGAAGATTTCTTGAACAGGCAGCGTGACAGTAGCTGCAGTTGCTCCGGAAACCGTTGGTACCGTTGTCGACGGTGCGCTCGGAGTTCTTCGAACTGTGTCCTTGCTCTCATTCGACGTCCGATGTTGAAACACAGACACAAATGTCGGTACTGTGACGCTTCTCGAAAGGAAAGACGGCAAGATTACTTGGAGAAGACAACGAGATCGCGTAGCACGTCCAGCTTATCCAGCGGTAGGTACTTACCTCGAAGAATGTGCATCGATAACGGTGGCAGCACCCGTCGACAGTGGCGGAGGCGAGGCGCTTTCTGGCGTCGCGCCAGTCACAGAATCCAGAGAATCAGGCGT